ATTGTGTTATGGCCATTCCCCATGGAGTATGCTTTCTCCTGTCCCTCTGTCTATCTCTGGTGAGCACATGCACCCTCTAGCAAATAAAAAAAGGTATCCTGGATAGTGTCTCAACCCACCACAGCCCTCTTTCCCAGTCCTCTAGCTCCCTGGGATCTTGGGTGTCCAGCTGGAGGACTATAGTAACCATGTCGTTTCCAGCTCTACAGGAGTCTGTTTTATATTGCTGTGCTAGCTTCAGAAATCTTAAGACTGCATATAGGGGTGGTGGTCTTGCATTTTTAAGACTCTGAAAATCTGCTTTTATTGGCAGGTCCGTCCCTTCACTTTAGGGCAATTGAAGGAATTGTTGGGGCGTACGGGAACATTAGTAGAAGAGGCCTTCTGGATTGACAAGATCAAATCTCATTGCTTTGTAACGGTGAGAGGAAAAAGCAGATTCCGTAGGTTGTGGCATATATTTCATTTTGTGACCAGTGGGGCAGGTTTAAGGGCATTGTGGCAAGTGGGAAGAATTGAAGGCATACCATGACCTTCTGTCTTCTCCCTTCCTCTGCCAGTACTCAACAGTAGAGGAAGCTGTTGCCACTCGCACAGCTCTGCATGGGGTCAAATGGCCCCAGTCCAATCCCAAATTCCTTTGCGCTGACTACGCTGAGCAAGATGAGGTAAGAAACCTAGGGGAAGGAAGGGACAGAAAAGGGAGGTGGTTATCTGTAGATTCCAGCCGAGATCCTGGCCAGACTTGTGTTCATTGAGATTCTGTTCTTCCCTCTTCTCCCTCCACCTTTGGTTCCTTCAAAATGCCTGTACCCCTGGTACCTGGGCTCCTTCAGTGGGTGTCAATGTCATCTCCATCCTGACTCCTTGTCCCTCCTCTGCCCACAGCTGGATTATCACCGGGGCCTCTTGGTGGACCGTCCCTCTGAAACTAAGACAGAGGAGCAGGGGGTACCACGGCCCCTGCACGCCCCACCCCCACCCCCAGTCCAGCCACCACAGCACCCCCGGGCAGAGCAGCGGGAGCAGGAGCGGGCAGTGCGGGAACAGTGGGCAGAGCGGGAACGGGAAATGGAGCGGCGGGAGCGGACCCGATCAGAGCGTGAATGGGATCGGGACAAAGTTCGAGAAGGGCCCCGTTCCCGATCACGGTCCCGTGACCGCCGCCGCAAGGAACGTGCGAAGTCTAAAGAAAAGAAGAGTGAGAAGAAAGGTACCTAGCTGTCAAGGCACACGTACTCACTAGTGGGTGGGAAAGGGACCCAAATGGGACTAGACAGGGTCATAAGTACCAGGTCTAATCCACTTTTCCCACCTCAGAGAAAGCCCAGGAGGAGCCACCTGCCAAGCTGCTGGATGACCTTTTCCGAAAGACCAAGGCAGCCCCCTGCATCTATTGGCTCCCACTGACAGACAGCCAGGTGAGTGCTCCCCTTCCTTGGGTCCCTGCCTCGCTGAAGGTCCCATCTAGGCTGGAAATCAGTAGTACCAAGGGGCAATGCCTGCCACTGCGAGTGAGTGGGCCCAGGTGTTAGCTACAAATAAGAAGCACCACAGCGCGAGGTAGTGCTAAGAAACAGTTGGTGAGTAGGCCATAGAGAAACCAGACACAAGGTGACAGGACACAAAGACAGGAACTGAGGTTTATTGAGGTTTGTAGTGTCTGGGAAGCTGGCTGTGCCAACCAAGCGTGTTGGAACTTAATTTTAGTTAGCTAAGAAATCTGTTTTATAAACCTATGCAACTCTCTGCTTTTTAATTTCTAGGATTTTTGCTTTGAAGTTTAGTTTTTTAGTGACAGGATTTGGAGAGTTTTAGGCTTACGCTATTCACCTAAAGAGAACAGAGATTTGTTCACATCTGGGATGCTAGTAGCTAGGGAAATTCCAGGGACCAGGCAGGGTGGGGCCAGGACCAGTCGTGTGTGTGCGTTGGAGCCTTGGCGGGAGAGCGGTGCTCTCAGAAAGACAGGGTGCATTTGCTGATCCCCACCCCCTCTTCTGCTTAGCAGCAAAGCTGACAGTGCCCCTGAGTTAGGAGAACAGGCTCTGGCACAGATGGTGGACAAAGCAGGACCAGGGTTGGCAGGCCTGAGACACCTACTCTTTGCCTTTCCCGCCTGACTACAGATAGTTCAGAAAGAGGCAGAGCGGGCTGAACGGGCCAAGGAGCGAGAGAAGCGGCGAAAGGAGCAAGAAGAAGAAGAGCAGAAGGAGCGGGAGAAGGAAGCTGAGCGAGAACGAGAGAAACGACAGCTGGATCGAGAGAAACGTCGAGAGCACAGCCGGGAGAGGGACAGGGAGAGAGAGAGGGAACGGGAGCGTGACAGGGGGGACCGAGATCGAGACAGGGAAAGGGACCGAGAACGAGGCAGGGAGAGAGATCGCAGAGACACCAAGCGCCACAGCAGAAGCCGGAGTCGGAGCACACCTGTGCGGGACCGGGGTGGGCGCCGTTAGCTGGGAACTGCTAGGAGAGCTGCAGGTACCAGCCACTCTACCCCAGGGGGTTAAAGGCCACAGTGGGATGGGTACAATCTTCCACCATCTTCCTGGAACCAAGAGTCTTTGAAACCATTTGCTCAGTGCTGAAGTATGGCTGTCACCTGTCCCCACATACCAAATGGATCAGTGGCCATCCTCTACCCACCCACCCACACACCCCTTAACCTATCTCTTGGGACTCTCAGCCCATTCTTCCCTCTCATTGCTCATGGAGTCTGAGAGAGGGAAGAGCTAGGTTAGGGAAGGAGGAGGAGGTTGCCTAGAGGTGGGGAACAGCCAGGAGCCCCAAACCTCTCATTTTCCCTCCGTCTCCTGATTACCACCTCCCTTGGGTACTCACAGCCTCTTGGGAACAGCCGGGGCCAGGACTGGGTCACCTATGAGCTGAATCAGCATCTCCTCCTGAGTCCCGCGGCCCCTGCAGTTCCCACCGTCTTCTGGCCTGCAGCCCTTGCCTCTTGCCTACCGAGCCCGACGGTTCCACTTTATATCCACCTTTTCCTTTTGTTCAATTTTTATTTTTATTTTTTTTATTATTAAATGATGTGGTCTATGGAAAAAAAATAAAAATCTGACTTAGTTTTAACTAGTGTGTGAGTGGTTTCGTTGGGCAGGGCTTGAGTGAGAGGAGGGCTGGCCAAGGGGGAGGCATTGCTTGCATCCCCTGGGCTCATTTAGGCTGGCTGCTGCTTCCTGGAGCGGGACTTTCCCACTGTTTTCCATCCCCGCTTTGGCTTAGACCAGCCCAAAGCTGTGGATGGCTCTCACTGGGGGGTAGAGGGGAAGATGCCCCCGACAAATGGAGCGTCTTAATTCTGTGGCTGCGCCCCAACAGGGCTAGGAGGGTCCAGTTCCGGGTCCTGTGCAAGAGTAGGCATTTGGTCACCTGCTCATTACCTCCGAGGTGCTTCCCACAATTGCCACCAGGGGGCGGCAGCCCCTTTCTCTGTTGGCCCCTGTAACGGAGCTTCCCCGAGAAGACTCTGCTCCCCACCTCCGCCCTCCCGCCGACGTAGTCCCTCCGTCCCTGAGTCCCTGATACATTCCCTGGGCCCGGCCGTGGACTCCTTGGACCCTTCCTTGGACTCCTCCCATCCGTAGCTGCACTTCAGCCAGCCCGCCCCACTACCGTCTTCTGCACAGGTTCCCAACTACTGCTGCCTTGCAGCTGGGGCTTCACACCAGTCGGAAACCAGTCCGGGAGCGGGGAGCTGGGTCTCTGCAGTGGGCTCCTCATTCCCTGCCTCACCGCACTCTCGCCCTTCGTTCCGGTGCCGGGTGTGCTGTCTGCTTCGCGCTCCCCGGGTGCACCCTACCCTCCCCGCCAGCTCTTTGGAAACGGCCTGGCGCTGTGGCCTGGACGTCCGCCCTCCCGAGTGCCCTGCCGGTCGCTGCGGACCGACCCGGGAGC